CAGATGTATCTCTCCCCTAGAGCTGGCCTTTCCAGAGGGGCAGCTGTCACCAAAGGTGTACCATCACCATTTTTCAAGGGGGTAAAGTGAAGCATGTGAGTGTTATGTGACTGCTTCAGGGTCTTGGTCATCCTGTGGGTTCTGAGCAGCATGTGGAAGTACCTGTCTCTGCCCAAGCAACCTCAGCCCTATCACACTGAGCATTTCAAACAGATTTTAGCAAGAACAGTTACTCACTTTCATATTGAAAAACAGCATCAATCTTCCCATTAATTCCTGGAAATGCATCTCTTAGCAGTAATGACTTCCTATCCATAGACTGATTTCTTTTATCATAACTGAGAAAAATTATAAACAAACAGGAGTCAGTGAAACCTGAAAGCAGTTTATGATTAATTCCTCTCAGCTCATTATCTTCTACCTATCAACAGAAATCCAAGTTCATTGAAGATTTTCAGTGTCATTTGGTAGTGTAGAAAGAGACACAATTTGCCATAAATTAATTACTACTTTACTAGCTGCACTGGATTAATTGCTTCTATTTACTCCACGTATGAATACCTAATATTGGAACCATCACCATAAATCTGTTTTTAATTTTTTTAAGTGACCATGCCTAAAGGAGCAATAGATAATAGATTATAAAAATATTTCCTTCATGTTGTATCTCTGTAATAAAGAATTTTTCATGAAAAATCTGGACTTTTTCTGAAGTTATAATGTATTTTAAGTCAGTTTACTTGTTACTTACAGCAAGCTATTATATTTTTGGTGATGTGCAGTTTATCTCTCTGTGCTGGAATAAGAAGACTTGTGAAAGTTTTTCCCTTCTATAACTTGCTTAGCAAGAGGTTTAATGATCAAACTCTTCATCATTCAGGTTACAAGAGTTTGACCTAAAATATGAAGGTTTGATCATCTGCTTTAACTACAGACATGTAGCTGAATAATTCTCTAGGGTGATCTCTATATACAACCATTTGGGCATTGTTGTGGAAGGAAAGAGAAGTTTTGTTGTCATCTAAAATAATTCAGGTTATTTACTGCTTCCATTACAGGAGCACCTCCT